TTTACACACACATTCCTTCAGTTTCTCTCCCTCTCCCCCTCTCTCTCTGTCTCTGTGTGTGTGTGAGCTTGTCGAAATCTTCGATGGGGCATAGATTATGATGATGCCCAGCAACAGAATGCGATAAAAAAGAACAAAAAGAAAAAAAAGAAAAGTTTTGCCTAACAAAATAAAATAAAATAAGATAAAATAAGATAAAGAGCCACACGCAACGGCAGCTGAGAAAAGTGTTAGCAGAGCGAGACCCTGCAACAACAAGCAAGGTATACACACACACATTTCTCTACAGCATATATATTCATTTTATAAAAAAGGCATGTAAAATTTGATATATAACCTTGAACCCGAGGCGTCTGAACTTTGACCTCAGTTGTGAGTTGAAAATTTTAATGAAAAAAGAAGAGAACAAAAACCAGGAACAGGCGCAGAGCAATCGACCTTATGTAATGGATTGAGCTAATAATTATATATAAACTGATATCGACCTGCGGAAAGCTCTATGAATATTCATATATATCAGTATATATATATCTAACTACTAGCTTTATTATACAAGAACTAATTCTTAGCTAACCAGATTTATAAATATGAAAGCAAGATGCTTCGGTTAGCTTTGGAACGAATGGAATTTAAACACACTGCTTTGCAACTAACTCGTATCAAGCTAAATATTCCAAATTTACATTTAATGCTTATCTTATTATGTATATTATATGAAACGTATGGAATTGAAACACTCTTCTAGAACAAGTTTCTGCCTATACCTTTTTTAAAGAAGCATAAATCAAAAGCACACTACAAGTAAAATGAAAACTGTGAAACGCATGGAATTGGGACACTTGCTTTGCAATCTATAAAATTTAATATCAATTAATACGTTAGGCGATGAAATAAAAATTATATATAAAAATCTTATAACATGGTTTAGACTATTAATTTACGAAACGAATGGCATAGAAACGAAAATTGAGATACTCCGAGAAAGCTTAATATAAGTTATGAGTCTCTAAGATGAAGATATTCAAGAAACTGCAGGACTAAAGGACTTAGCTAAAGGTGAAGATAAATGATGTAATTGAAACAAAAACGAAATAAAACACTAAATTGGAAAGGAACAGAAAACAGTTTCGAAAACAAAAAAAAAAAACGAAAAGCAAAATAAAATTCTTAAAAGAAGAGCTATTCCAATTGGCTAAGGATGGAACTGAAAGAACATACCTTTGGAAAACACACAGTTATAACTATAAAAAAAACTAGAATATTTTTGAAATATTTCCAACTGCATTTAACAAAAATACTTTTTAAATTCTTTATAAATGCTGAAAAAAAAACATTGTAAAAAGCGAAAAACTTTTGCGTGGAATTCAACATTGAAATACGAGCATCCAAAATAGTTTCCGAATGTTGGGCCCTCTTTTAATGGTTGGCCAGAAGTAGTAGCAGTAGTCGCCGCCCCTAAAGGTATGCAATATGAATTTAATGTGTGTTTTTGACCACGCTTGAAGCCAGCTTCTATATGGCCATCAACTAATTTGCGTTTATTTGACCATCAAAAGAGTCGTAACCCAAATATGAAAATGGGTTAGAGGTGTGCGAACTAGTGGGTGTGGGTGTGTGTGGTAGGTGTGTGTGTGTGTAACGCCTTTGGCAGTTATGGGGCCCTGCGGTTGGCCGCAATGTCAGGCGAGAGTCCTTTTGACTAATTAGACGACTTGCGGTGAACGTAATCATAAATACACACACAGCAGTAATTATGATATGAGGGCCAACAACAACAACAACTTAGCATATATACATAGATACGTATGCATACATATACTTATATATACTATATACATATATAAGGCTGACTTGCTTAAGCTGTCGAGTTAATTAATTTAAAACTGGCCCAAACTGCAGAGCCTCAAGTATTAGGCCTCGCGTCTTGGCCATGTGCAAAGCCTGTCTCTCTCGCTCTCTCGCTTTCTGTGTGTGAGCAGCAGCCCAACTGGAAGCCTCTAAGTGTGTGTGTTTGTGTGTGTGTGTTGTTTTCTACTTTTTTTCCTTTATTTTTCGCTAGCTCTTCTTTTTGCTTTTTCGGCAATTGGAATTGGACGCTGAATGTGGAGCGCAGCGCGCGCAGTTGAAATTTCAAAAACTAGCGACTGGAAAAGCCAAAAAGACTTTTGTCTAGTGAATTAAACTAAAGCCAAACATTTTATTAAAATATACCAAAATAAACCTAAAGAATATTTGAAACATATGTAAAATATCAAATATCATAATATTTTATGTAGATGCACAGTAAATAAAATTCCTACAGCTCAGCTTATATAAACGGCGTCAGAAAAAAAACGTTGCAGAGCCTCAAACGCTTCGTGTCATGTGAGAGCCAGCGCTGAATGGCGTAAGAGCGAGCGAGCACGAGAGAGAGAGTCAGTGAGAGAGCGCGCTAAGCAGCTGACAAATTGTGCTCACGAGCGCGCTCTCTTCTGCTCTCTCACTCTCTCTCTCTTTGCATCACCTGATTTGCACAGCAGTCGCGTTTCGAACTAGAAACATGTTAAGGCTGCGGCTGCTGTTAGCTTGTATGCGAGTGTGTGTGTGTGTGTGTGTGTGTTTTGGGGGTGGGTCTACAACCGCTGGCTGTAGTTTGCCTGCTGCTGCCGTTCTTGTTGTTGGCGCTGCTGTTGTGCAGGCATTTAAATGTGTGCCAGCCACACACGCACACGCACACAAATTTAAATTTAAATTACGCATACGCCCGGTTGTGCAGTTGTGTGTGTGCAGCTGCTGCTGCTTAGCAGCTGCCTCAAGTTTTTCTTAATCAGCAGCGCAATTCACATGCTTGCAACGTGCTTTTACCACACACACACACACATACAGACACAGAGGCCATTCACGAGATTTTGCTTCATTTTTTTCCAACTTTTTTCTTTTGCCCCCGTAGCAAAGCTTTTCCTTTTGCCCCTGTTGCCCAGTTTTGTATGTGGCGCTCATTAGCGGTCGCATTGTCGCAACACCTTCTCCACCTCGCTTGACATGGTTGCCAGCTTTGCTTTTTGCCAGTTGCTAGTTGCCAGTTGCCAGTTGCCAGTTGGTCAGCTTAGCTCTGTTGCCAGTTGTTTAAAGGCTTGCAACAAATAATTGCCAATTATGCACACACACACACACACACACACAGATAGATAGATAGAGAGAGAGAGGGAGAGTCATCAAATATGCAGTCAAATGTTTGCACAGACTTTGAAAAATGTGGCACAGTTCGCCAGTTGGCGACCTCTAAGTGCCACAAATTAACCGCAACGCGTTGCTTCTTTGCTTCGTTCCTCTCTCTCTCTCTCTTTATCTCTCTTGCTCTCTCCCTCTTTAGCACTGATAATTACGAGCAGAAATATTAAACCCGGGAAGGGCCGAGGGGTTTTTTGGACGACTGCTGCGCGCGGATTTTGTGAAGTGGGCAGCTCTTGGGGCAAGGCCCGTCCCCACGTCCGTCCATCCGACTTCAATAATTAATGAGCAGCTAAAAATGTCACGCAGTTGCGTCCCTCTGCAGGATTTAGCCATAGCTGAGAGTTTACACACTGCAACAGCAGCAGCAGCAGCAACAGCAATCGCTGCCTTAAGCTTGTTAAATACCCATGCCTAAATCACAACACTTTATAGCCAGGCTACACTGTACTGCAAGCTGTTATGTAAGCTCTCCAACATGTTGCTTGCCCTTTTTAATGAAACTCTAATTGAAGCTAAATTCTGCTTAAGGATTCATTATGTACAGAAGATTATAGCTCAACATTCGGACAGGGTATTCGGCAGTCGTATATTTTTTAGAGAAATACATTTGCCTGTTTTCATTTGTCTTGCCGGGCTGTGGCTTGAGGGCTTTGGGGGCTTGGCATATTTTGGGGTTAACGGGCTGAATTTAAATGCGAGTTATGTTGTGTCCTGTTGATGTCCTGTTGTTGTTGTCCTGTGGCAAGGGTTGCCAACCCATTGCACAGTATTTAATTAAAACATGATGTAATGCCAGCGCGTGTCCCGCGACAATCCGGTGAGAAATGCACAGAGATAAAGACAGACAGAGACCGACTGAGGAGCTTGAAGCTATTTAATAGAATTTGTGACTAGAACACTTTCTATTCATTGCGGAAGTGAAGTGACAGAGAGAGAGAGAGAGAGGAGAAAGAGACTGACGAATTTTAAAACACTTTTTGGAAACTTTATCTCCTGGGAGAAGAGCTGCGCAGAGCTTAACAAGAATTCTGAAGCACTTTTTAAAATATTTCGAATGTTTTTTGAGGAAGCAATAAAGTTAGGGAAATAGACTTGGAAACGGACTGTGCTCTCATTTCTGTAAAAGCAGAAAAGAAGTAGTCCAAAGACTTTGCCTACAAGCCTAGTCCAGAAATATGAGTACACTGGGAGCAGCAAGTTGGATTTTTAACAGAGATTAAAAGCAGTTCAAAGAGCTCATTCGCTAACTTACTCTAGAGATAATCTAGAGTTTAAACATAATACATAGAAATACATTTTAGAGAAGTGGAAAAGAGCAGCTGTAACCTGGAGAGGAGAACAAAAAAGTAGGAAACACAGCTGCGGAGATAAAGATGAAGCTGTAACATGAAGTATGGCTAGACTCCAGAATGTTAACTTGGGAGGAAATCTCTGTTTACACTAATCACGCGACGAGCAAAAAAAGAGGCAACAGAGGCAAATGACAGCATAGCAAGAAGGAAACTAGATCGATTAGACAGCAGAGTAGAGAAAGATAAGTATAGCTTTCTGAGATCTATTATAAAGATGAATGAATGAAAATAGAAGAGGCTTTATAGCCTAGCCCAGAATAAGAGCTGATGTACTTTGTAGAATCCACAATGAATATGCTAATGAAAACAGAGAAGGCTATAAAACCCATTGCAACGATATGACACTTCAATTAATGAACATCTGATAACCAGATACTGGATGTAGCAGAGGAAAAGATACAATTCGATTTATGCTTATAGCAGTTATGAACTCACCTTGCAGTCATCGCATTGATTGACCAGCGAATACACCTGGCGGCAGTCGAAGCGAAAGAGTATCTCGGCCAGTTCGCAGGTGATGCGATTGGCCAGCGCATCCACATCGAGTAGATCGCTTAGCAATCGAATGCACTCATCCCGGTCCGAGAGCGTCACATTTAGAGCCAATGTGTGAAGCGCACTGAACACGCTACGTTCACAGCAATGGCGCAGTCGTAGGGTGCGCAGGCGGGCGAGCAGCTGACCAGGTGAGCGAAGGCCGCACAGATGCTGTGGACTCGTCTCGGCTGCATCGCCCAGGTAATCAAGGCACTGTTGTTGTTGCTGTTGTTGTTGTTGTTGTTGTTGTTGTTGTTGTTGGTGTTCGTTGACGCTGAGTTGTTCGTGTGTCTGGAGTTGGCTATAAAGCAGTGTGGATTGATCCTCATCCAGCATAATCTCATCTTCAATGTTGCTGCTGACTGTGCTGCTTGCCTCCAACGCCTCCTGCTCCACATCGTCCAACTCCTGCTCGGTTGTGGTTGTTGTTGCTGCCGCCTCCGTTGGGGCATTATCAACAACAACAACATTCTCATCCCATTGCCTATCGCGTCGCACTCGAGACATGGCCTTTAAGTTATTGTTGCTGTTGCTGTTGCTGTTGCGATTATGCGTCGTCTTATAGTTAATCGTATTTGCATTTATGAAATACTTGAGTTTATTATTATCGATGCTGCTTTCCATTGGCTGCTGTTCGGCGCAGGAACGCGGACAGATTGGCGGACCAGGTCCCTCATCAACCCAGGCCATGGGCAGTGTGCCAGCCGAGCACTGACCCTGTAGAGGGAGCAGAAACAAATAATAGGATATTAATAACATTTAAAAGGGATATCAACTTTGTTATACACGGTAATAGGATTATAAATGCTAGCCTAAAAGCTCTTTGTTTTAGGCTTCAAGATTAGAGTGGAATATAAATATATAGTATATGTAATATATATATATATATATGTGTGTATATCGCAGGCTGTCTTATATAGGAAATACTCGACTAGAAAGTTCCTTGCACTGCGCAGAGCTGTTAGGTCAATTCTAAGTTTCTTTTACACATAAATAATATATTTTTAATATTTTAAATATTTTAAAAAATATTTTTTATATAAAAGTATTGTTTAGAAAGCAAATTTAAATTTCTTAATATATATATATACAGTTTAATATTGTTTTTCCCAACACAAGCATAATTCCCTCACTCAAGAGTTATCCAAAACATGATTAATTAATCAACTGTGAAGATAAAACTGAATACTTTAAACAAATGAAAAATCTTTTTAAACTCTCTCTCAAGATGTTGAACTTCTAAAAAAGTTCATGCGCAACTATTTGAGCTCCTAAATAATTCAATTCTCAAATTGAAACAAAAAAGCCAAGTTGCTGCTGCTTAAACTTTGTGTCAGAAAAAAGTTTTCATTGTGTGAGATTTTGGGGTAGAAAATTAATTTGGGAGCGCTTAACACATGATGAAATATTAAATGCAAATATGTGTATATATATATATATATATATATATATAATGTGCATATGAAATAAATGACAGGCAATTAAGCTGGCAATTAGAACCGAGATTAAAGAGATTAAACAGCTGAGGCTAAGCGCCAAAGAGAGAGGGGTAGGAAAGCGGGCAGTCAGAGAGTGAACCAAAATCTAAATTTTAAATGTATTTATTTAAACAGAAATGTTTTCTATTATTTCAAAATTAAACAATGCATATAGAGACAGAGAGACAGGGAGAGGGAGTGTGGGTGGTTCCATGGGCTGCAAGTCAACGGGGTAGCAAAACAAAAAGTACTCTGGTATATTGAAAAAGTTTTATGCAGCTACGAGCAACAACAGCACGCACTAAGGGAAAGTCATAAAATAAAACAACAACAACAACAACAGCAAGCTGTGTAGAGTGGCGCAAGTAAAATAGAAGCCAAACAACGAAACGAGCAACAACAACAACAACAACAACAACAATGGCAATGAGTGCATAAAGAGCTGATGTTTTTCGTTATTAAAATGACCGCACTTCGTTGGAATTTTTTTGCTTGGCCGCTCTTGCCACATGCCCCGCAAGCAGTAGCCGTAGCAACAACAACAGCAGCAGCAACAGCAACAAGGGAAATAATCGTAGCGCAGTTTACGGCGTCGCCCGTATCAATGCGCAGCCAATGCGACTGTTGGGCAAAACCGAAACCGTTTATAGCCTTCACATGTGCGGCCCATTAAAATTAAAGGCGCGCCATATAAATAAATTCAAAAAAAGATTAAAATAAATAAATAAAAAATAAAAATAAACGGAAATTGCAGCAAATAAAATCGGGAAGAAGGAATTAAAATTGAAGTAAGCTAAAGCTGAAAGCAGATATGTGAACTAAATGCTAAATCAAAAGCACTAGTTCCAAAAGAGGTGCATAAAAAAAGAACTAGTTTGGCATCGGAATAAAATCAAACTCCGAATAGAATCAGCTACGCTTGATGAAAAAATATATAGATAAATTAGAAAAGATAAATAGATAAAGATATAGATGAATAAGAAAAGTTCAAAAGCAAAAGAGAACTGGAACTGGAACTACTAACAAACTTTTGATTAAGATACACTCAAAGGTAAGCCAAGAGGATGAGAATTTAAGGCCAAGCAGAGCTTGTTAAGGGACTGCCACTAGAATCAGTGATGCACCTGAACTATCAAGATAATCAAATATCAAAAGAGAAAGAAAATGAGAAGCTTTAGTTGAATGTGAAGCCTAGGCTAGCAGAGGAACTCATAAACTAAAAGAAGAAACCATAATAGGAACAGAATCAATTGTGGAAAAATACCAGATTCAGAACCAGTAACAAGTCTTAAGAGAAACATGAACTAGTAATGGAATGAGCTGAAAAATGAGTCACAAAAAAATAATTATTAAATTGAAAAATTAAATTAAAGCTGGAAATATAATTTATAAACGGAATAAAAACTAGAAAAGGAGAAAATAAAATCAAGCTCAATATAAATATGTATTGAATAGAGGGAAAGAAGCGCAACAACAGACAAAGCTTTAAAGAACCAGTAGTTAAACTAGAACTTGAACCATTTGAGTAACATGAACCACAAAGTAAACGAAAGAGTCTATCAAGGAAGCAGAGAAAAACTGAAAAAAAATAAATAGCAAAATAGAAGCAAGAAGCATATTAGTAACAAATACCCAAAAGAAATGCTAGGGACAAATGGAGTAGAGGACAATGTGGAAATTGCATTATAGGGAACATTAATATTGCATGTCACACTGCAAGTGAATGGGTGAGTGAGCGACAGAGAGAGAGAGAGAGGGACACAGAGAGAGAAAGGTAGAGAAATGTGCAGCAATCAACGACGCATAAAAACTCAATTGCCTGAGCCCAGAGAACTGTTTTATCCCTCGACAATAACAATAAGTTGAAATACTCTCCAGTATAGCTTACTCTATATACCCATGTATATAGTATAGATACATGTATATATATATTTGTGTGTGTGCTGGCACATAAAATAAAAATTCAGGTTAGAGACGAATCCAAATGTGAAATGAAAAAATCAGACAATGAATAATAACACACAGCACTCAGTAGTGAAAAGTTGAGCGCATTCAAAGACTAAAAGATGCTCCTTGAGCTGAATGAAAAATATAATTTTAAAAAGATATAAGCTAAAGATTAATCAAATATATATAGATAAATTAGCTAGGCAGACTGCTGAGACTTAAGGCAATTTGTATAGGCGAAACAGAAGTTGCATATTTCAATATTTGCATTAATTGGTGAAGCTATTCTAGATCTTATACATTTTACAATCTTTGTGTGCCATACAAATATATAGGCATAGTAGATGTGCGCTGCTTGGTCAGGATTTGAATCTGGCGGCCAATGCAAGCTCTACATGTTTAAGCTCAGGCTACATAAACTGCTAAAGCGCTATAAACTGCATTAACAAAAGAACTAGTTCCGAATCGAAATAGAATTAAATTCAAAATTAAAGTAGCTAAATTGAAAAGAAACAAATTCGTAGATTAGTTTAAAAATTTGTTCCTTTTCAATTTTGCTTTTATCGAAAAAAAATATAAAATTTTCAGGTTTCATTTATTGTTTTCAAATTATTTTTAACAAAACTAAAGTATAAATATTTGAGATTTATGCATTTTAAATAGTTCATTACATTTCATATTTATCTTATAAATTATACACGTTTATACTGAAACCCAGTGCAAATTCCACATGTGAATTAAATCAAGTTGAAATTCCAATTTTTAACTTATTTTCTCAATTTTCATATGTAAATCTCAAGCTAGTCTAAATCAGGTAGTGAAATAGAGTACCTAATGGAATTCAGTAACCAGAAATTATGAGGTTCTGTATGCTATATTTATATATATGTGACAAAAAAAATTTAAAGCCTCTTGGCCCAACCCCACTTACCAAAAACTCAAGTTAAAATTTCAATTTTTAACTACTTTTCTCAATTTTTATATGTAAATCTCAAGCTAGTCTAAATCAGGAGTGAAATAGAGTACCTAATGGAATTCAGTAACTAGAAATGATCAGGTTCTGTGTGCTATATTTATATATATATATATAAAAAAAATTTAAAGTCTCTAGGCTCTAGTTGAAATTCCAATTTTTAACTAATTTTCTCTGCAAACATTTTGTGAGCAAACATTTCTAATACACCACAAAGCATAGCTCTTTTTGAACTTTAGAGCCTCTAGCAGTTGAGCAAACCGCTTAAATGCTTTGCCAAATTTAATACAGGGTATATTACACACACAGACACACACCCAGACACACACACTCGCAGCTAAGGACAGAGACAGGGAAGCACGTGTACACGGCGCCATTGTTGATTTAATGGCAGACCAGCTGCGGCCCAGTGCACAACAATGCGACCCACTCGCTCGCCTGTTCAGGGTTTGTGTGCTTTTTTCTTTTTTCTTTTTGCTTTTTGTTGTTGCAGGGGTTGGGCTCGTGGATTGGGGGTTAGAAACTTAAACGGACACAATACAAGAAGACAGCAACAAGATAAATTCTTGAATGCGCAACAGCGAAATAAGAAATTACAGAATGAACTGACATTACAATTTGTAAAAAGGGTGTGCAGCCAGTGGCCAACCCGCTGCCCCTGCCCATTGCCACCAAGACAGGCAACACCCAACCCCAACGCCAACCCCAACGCCAACGCCAACGCCAACCCTTAGCCTCCCCTTTGACCTGCCCTTTAGCATAGCTGCGCGCTGATTAGTTCGCGATGGCTGTTCAAACAATTTGAAAATGCAAAGTTTTTGTTAAAACTTTGATGAGGTTTTCTTTTCGTTTTTCATGAAAAGTTTCAACTTGCCAAAGGTTTAAAGCGGAAATGGGATTTTAGCTATTCAAATGAACTTCGAACTGGCCAACACTTAATTATGCTGAATTGTTGTGAAGCTTTTCACCTGCAGGCCAAATGCTAAGCAAAATTCTTCATAAAATCATAACTTTTAATTATAAAAGTCGATGCCAGAGATGATCAACTCCAATAAAAGCCAAGTAAATTACAAATTAACCAAATTAACTAATGAGCGCTGACTCTGCCTGATTGACTGACTGACTGCCTGGCTGTCTGTGTCGCTCAGCTTCATCAGGACATTTTTGCTCCTGGGTCAAGTGCGGCCAGCGGCTATGCATGGCATCCCATTCAAGCCAAGCTGCTGCCAGCTCATTGTCTGCGCAAAGGCTTATTAGACAGCCCAGCTCTTTGCAGCGCACAGTGCAATATGCAGAGCCAACCAGACAAAGGCCTCTGT